TATATATATATATATATATATATATATATATATAAATATAACATTATATATATATATATATATATATATATATATATATATATGTTATATTTATATATATATATATATATATATATATATATATATATATATATATATATATATATATATATATATATACATAAATATAATATATAAATATAATATATAAATATAATATATATACATATATATATATATATATATATATATATATATATATATATATATATATATATATATATATATATATATATATATATACTATATATACATACATGTGCGTGTGTGTATGAATATTTTTTATCTTCTTTCTAGTATATGTATTGTACGTTTTATTCTGATATATGCACTGCTCATGTATAAATATGTATACGTTTACATTCACTCTGTGTCACACACAACAAACGCATATGTACGGTGATTAATTATGGCAAATGTATATACATACATAAATATCTATCTATCTATCTATCTATCTATCTATATATCTATATATATATATATATATATATATATATATATATATATATATATATATATATATATATATATATATGTATATATATGTATATATATATATATATATATATATATATATATATATATATATATATATATATACATATATATATATATATATATATATATATATATATATATATATATATATATATATATATATATACATTACAACGAATGAATAATCAAGCGAAATAACCGAAGCATTTCGATTCAATATTCCCCCAAACTGACATCGCATTCCCGCGAAGAATTAATCAACATGCGTCAATCAAGAGTCATTCGCTCTCGCATCACACCTCCCCTACTTCTACCATGCACACATACACGTCAAACTTATCACCATATAACCTATGCTAATCTTCTCAGCCCTTCGCTCACGACGTGTGCTTATCACTCGAATCAACATCTTCACACCTTGATATAGAACACCGGAATGATAATAATGACAATAATGATAACAAAGATTACGAGGGAGATGAGATATAACAAACATTTGTAGAGGATAAAATAACAATAAATATTTCTAAAAAAAACGACGTGGATTTCTTTTCTTTCAAAACTTCCTTTCCGGCAGATGTGACCCACAATGCACGTTGGGTCTTTTAATAAAGTTCAAAGTTTACATTAATGTAGTAGGGAAAAAAACGAATGTAGGTAAGTGCGTGTACACATACACATACGCACATATGAGGAGAATGAGAGAAAGAGATAGATAGATAGATAAATAGACAGATAGATAGATACACACATACACACACTCAAGAGAGAGAGAGAGAGAGAGAGAGAGAGAGAGAGAGAGAGAGAGAGAGAGAGAGAGAGAGAGAGAGAGAGAGAGAGAGAGAGAGAGAGAGAGAGAGAGTGAGAGAGAAACCTTGATCTAAGTGACGTGATTATCGATATAAACTAACGGTAAATATCCTTTATATGTTTTATATACTTACATGTACTTTCGTATATACGCAAACATGTATATATATATATATATATATATATATATATATATATATATATATATATGTGTGTGTGTGTGTGTGTGTGTGTGTGTGTGTGTGTGTGTGTGTGTGTGTGTGTGTGTGTGTGTGTGTGTGTGTGTGTGTGTGTGCGTTTAATTCCATTAAACTTCTCATGACTTAGATTTGGACATTGGGCATCGTAGGGATATAGGGGCTCTTTCAATCTTATGCAAGATTGTAACCTGATTTTTATCAACCCGCAAGAGTTACTAAAAGTTCTGTGACCCTCAATTCATTGACATTTGAAGTCAATCATCTACTTCTCAATTCTCTAGATTATGTATTACTGCTATCCCTAGGCTTTGGGATGGATTGCTTTCAGAGATTGTAACTTCTCCGGCTCTTGATAAGTTTAAGATTTTTTTTTCTTTCAGTGTAGCTCTTTATACGGTTTACTATAATAATAATAATAATAATAATAATAATAATAATAATTATACACATATACATAACACATATATAAATACATACATACATACACACACACACACACACACACACACACACACACACACACACACACACACACACATATATATATATATATATATATATATATATATATATATATACTTACATATACATATATATCCACGTAAGCCATAAAAGTAAAATGATCTTCTAATTCTTCATCATTTGCATTTTCCTCCTGCATCTTTGGTAACACATCAGTGAGTCAGCGAGAGTCGCGCACATGTAAACAGGCGAGCGCAAGCCGGGTTTTTGCGGCTTTATCTTGCTTCCAAGTCTCTGCTCCTCTCACAAGCCGTTGCTACCTGCAAGGCGCTCTGTCTAGATACATACATATATAAATACATAAATAAATAAATAAATAAATACATACACATACACACACACACGCACGCACGCACGCACGCACACACACAGACATACACATACATATGCAAATGCATGCCCCTATAAATCTCCCTACAGCCAGAGAC